GAACCATAGCGGACTGCTTGTTTGCTATCGGATTAGCCTACCACACGACCATAAAAGCTCGCCACTACTGATTAACAGAGCTCTGAGTAAATATCTGTCGAAAGAGATCATGGTCGAGATAGCCATTCCTACGAAATCCTCGTTTTTTATTTTCCCCAACGTATCATTTTAGTAGCACAAGAAATACGACAGTAATCGACTTTTTCATTTGTATTAAACATCTTTTCCAATCGTAAGCTTCTCACTGTGTCAGGCCTTCGATACCACCTTAGTTACACCCCCTTAACTACAGGTATTGATCGCACTCGTGAGTCGTGACTCTCAATATAGAAATACATTTCAGTTTCCAATATCAATACTTTTATGATTTTTTACTACGTTTAGTTAGTTCACAGCCAATGTATCCCTAACTGTTGTCTAGACACCAGTATTCGGTTAACAGAAGCCACAATATAAGTGTTATGTGGTGTGTGGTAACACCACATCCACTGCCGTCCATGAAGCTCAAAACGTTTCGGCATTGAGAGGAAGAGGTTTGATAAAAGAGACGGTATCGTACAAGTTTGATCCAATAACCCCGAAGTACAGTTGCAACTCGAATGCATAGGGTCTGTAACCCTAGTAACCTGAATTTCATGAAAATAATCTAAGCTTATGTGAGCGCGATTAATTTTACCTAAAATGCCGACCCAAAAGAATTAAAGTGATCAGGTTCAGAATGTGTTTTTCCCAAGTTTGAAAATCATGAACAAAGACCATTGAAGACCCTTTTGTTCACACGTTATGCACTTACCTGAGGATCGTTCAACTGAGAGGCACGCAAATGCAGTTCTTGTATAAGTCGACTAACGTGCATCTCTTTAGCGATAGCCAACTCAATTGCGTCTTTGATGCTGTTATACTTCTGAGGTGCTGTTTCACTGTTTAGCTGTGAACGGGAAAGTAGTGAAAAGGATGATTGTAACCTTTAAGTCCGATAGATGTAAGGAGAAAATGAAAATCATAGAAAAAATCACAATCTTTTATTTTACATTTGAATGAGATTGTATATCATCTAGTGAAATAGTAACATAGAACAGAGATTGCATCCGTTACTCATAGAAAATATCCTACTTCCGTTTCGTAGACATATGAAACTTAACCATGTCTCCACCGGATTATGAGGAGACGGGAGGTGACAAGTTTTATGACAGGCTCAAGAGATTGATTAAGAATGATGTTCCGAAATGCAATGCATTCCCTGTCGGTGAGTGGGGTTTGCAAAGCGTACACCCTCTTCAAAACAGCCAAACAAACACATCCTCGAAAAATACGGCCTTGGCCAACAATAATACAATGGCGAATATCTCCTCCTGTTTTGCATATGGACACTGGCTAGTCTTTTCCAGCACCTGCTTTAAATACCCTACCCTAAATGATATCGGTATAGGAATTACTCAGATAATAATGATGATGATAATGATAACGACGATGATGATGGTGATGAGTGTGACATTGCGCACAGAATCGAATACATGTCAGTACGAGTACTCCGGACATCATTGGTTAAAAACTATCGGTCCTACCCTAGTGTAGGTATAGCAAAAAAATAACACTGATCAGGTCTGTGCGTGCACACCCATCAAGATGCACCTAAACGACTGAAGACGAAACAGAGTTCTGAAACGGACAAACGTAGCGCCACTTAGATCGCCGACAAAGCGACAGGGGATCTCAAATACCGTTGCCCCTGACCGAGGAACTGGGTCTCTCGGGAGGAGAAGTAAGTTCAGCGGAATTACTTTGAATTATATTTGGGTCCTATACCAAACAATAAGTTAGTTGTTGGTGCTTCGAGCTTTGTACCACGGTGACCGAAATACAGGATAACTAGTCTTTCGAAGAAAACTGAAGATACCTACATAAGCGATCTCTCAGGGTTCTGAGCTATTCAACGGAGAGCAACTCATGCATTCGGAGAAGAGAGAAACAGCCACCAGTCTAAGCTCACTGTGTGCCCAGAAACAGTGACTAATAGTGCTAGCTTCTCAAAATTTGCCGCCTCTTTCGATTTTGGTATAACCACCCCTTAGCAATTAGGTCCGAATCAATTTGATCATTTGCTGAAGCTTTCCGCCTTGACCTCTGCTAGTTCAAAACTGGAGCAAACAAAGCCAGTAAAAGCTATGACATCAGAACCAATCTTTCAACCTGTGGGAACATTGCTTAGGTATTAGATAATCTGGTGAACCAGGGCCTATGGGAAAATCACTTCCTTCTGGCAACACAAAAGGTGTGCATTCCGGTACTGCTAGAGCCCTTCCACACCCTGTTTTGCTCAAAATGGGAAAAGAATAATTTTCAACATACTGGGGGATCTCAACCTCACTACCTCCCTCAACGAAAGGTGAAAGAACGGTGTGCAAAAATCACCGAGGTACAAGATCGATCGATGAGGCTGTAAAAGTATTCCTCATGCTCTTACTGAACTGATTTCTAACATAGAGAAATGCACGCACTCGTTACAAGCAAGAAGGTTTTCTTCGTTGCGTACAAAAGTAGCGATATGAGCTTCAGTAATCGACGGCAGCATGTTTCATTGATGTCAGAACCGCGTGGACTTGCTTGACACATAATCCATGAACCGTCCCAAGACCGTACTCCTCAACTGAGATTGCATGAGTGTGTACATCTGAAGAACACTCAAGCGGCTTGCTCAACTCCGGTGTTCAATATGGTTTACCCTCATTACCAGTGCCGGAATTATTAACTGAGCAAGGCGTCAGGCGCTCACTGACTACTCTGCTATCCAGATGAGTTCGGATAACTTTCTATTCCAATCGGAACTCACAGACGATATTGTTATCTGATGAGACAACCAAACTAACATACAGTTAATCCTGAATCATGTAACGCTCCTCGTAAATGTCACCGAACCGGAGATCGAAGCATCCGAAACAAAGATCTTGCCGTTTTGCGTTTCGCATCTCAAAAGATTTTCATCGATGAACCCATCGAATACATGCATTCCTCTAAATAACTATGGAATCCAAAGTTTGCCCACTTAGACGGATTAAAGCCGAAGCTAAAGTACATATCGATGAAACCAAGAGAAAATCTGGCCTCAATTCAATACTGCTTCAAACCTTTCGGGGCATTACTTTAGTAATCCAAGTCTCACGGCTTGGTTTACCGTTCCCTCAAATGAATAGTCAATCCCCGTGATCACACCGTTCACCTTCTTACTGTTCGCCGTACAAATGGATGTACTTAAAAGAGTAATCTGGGTAACTTGCCATCACATGTTGTAATGCAACTTTTCCGTTACGTCTGTTGATAAACTCTGTGAATTTGCGAGCGTGTTCTATTTCTTCGTTGGCTGCCTCCCGAAAGAATTTGGCGAACCCGAGAAGTCCCACTTCCGGTCGGGAGAAGTAGGCTGCCTGTCGGGAAAAAGACAATTAACGGTTTTGACCAGTGATGAGGAAATGAACGTCCACAGTAGAAAGTTAGTATCTCGGCTCGATGCAATACAATACGAAGAGGATACCCTCGTTGCACAGATGAGTTTTCATGAAAATTACCTGGAAGTACTTCCCTATTAAATCACCGTATATAAAGATAAATGTCTTTTACTTCGTTTTATATTTATTGAATATGCAAATTTAGTCAAATTTCATGATGGGGGCTACTGCCATACAAAGAATGCCTGGGGAAATACAAAAAGCAGGAAAGATGAGCGGCGGCGGTGGAGCGGTTCGAACCCGGGACTTCCGGGTAAAATTTGGGTAAGCATTTGGCCACCACCGCCTACGGACGCTTTATGTTCTCTCATGAGCACTCAGGAAGTGCATTTTAAGCATTTTTGAGTTGCAGTAGTATATTAGTTAAAACCAATAAAACGCTATTGATTACGGATTCTAGATTCTGTCTTTTGGGTGAAATCGAATGCTGTTCTCCTTCAGCGGACTAAAGAACTTTGGACCATGAAGCAAACCAAATTTTCTGTTGGATTTTGAAATATGCGTATAAAAAGAGCAGAACCCCAAATTTTCATAAAATCATAACTAACAATAACTTCGGATCGACGGTAGCCCGTTAGAGGTCGATCACGACGAAATTGCAACTTGACGTGGTGTGATGGCTTACGTGCCGCCATGACCCTGAGAGCCACACAGGATGGCTTTTCACAGTCGTAGATTCAATCATGCCTGAAAGGTCAATGCGTAGAGGCCAGACGAAGATCAGTCTCACAA